AGAGGTCTTAACTGCGGAGCCACCTCTCCAGTCCTTGGATTTTGTTTTAAGGAGGACCTTCGGACACCTTAAACATGCAGAGTCCTGGTCTCACCTCCCAGCGATGATGCAGTGGGTCTGAATGAAGATCAGCTTTAAGCAACTAAGATGTTTAACAATAACAATAATATCTAACTTTTGGAGAAAGGAGGTTATATATGAATTTCAGACGTTTGCCTTTTTTTGTTTTTGTTTGTTTGTTTTTACAACACTCATATTGCTGTGTGGATGCCATGCACACGCTGGCAATCCCAGCACTCAGGAGGCTGAGGCTGGAGGTTCATGAGTTCCAGGCCTCCTCTTTGACCTCCTAGATCAGCGCAGACCTGTTAGCCTCTCTGGTCAGTGCTTCTGGGCCAGCCTCCTCTCTGGCCTATGAGCTGTCTGCTGTATCCTCTGGTTCCATTGCCACGTCACCTTCTCTGAATTCCCTTAGTCATCCAGCACGTTCTACCATTCTCTAGTTTATCTCCTTGTCCATTTCCTGTCTCTCTCCACTCCCACACGGGATGTCCTTGCTGAAGAGCTGTGATCTCTCTTGTTCCCTTCCTGACTAGCCGTGGCGCCCACGGCAGTGTGGAACAGAGTAAGTGTTCTGTAGACTCATGAATGGATGGATTGAATAGGCAAGGACAAATGACTACTTAGAATCGTCTCTCTAGACTACTAGCACCTCAGAATTTGCGGGGTGGGGTTGCAAAAGATAAAAGAGGAAAAAGGAGGGGTGCTGTAATGGATCAGCGTGTCTTGCCACCAATTGTCAGGAGTTCAATCCCCACAACCCACATGATGGAAGAGGAGGGAACAAACTCTTGCAAGTTATCCTTTGGTTGCCACGTGATCGCCTTGGCAAGAGCGTGTCCCCTGTAGACATACCCACACATATACAAAATAAATGAAGATTTAAAGGGGTTGGGGCAGGTGAAGGGAAAGAAACAAAACGAACCCGTCAAGCCTTCTTCAATTGGCCTTTGTTTACTGGAGCCCAGAAACCCTATTGGCGCTCAACTCGGGCGCGATGCCAATCACGACCAGTAGGTGGCAGAAAGGCACCATGGCTGAAGCATAGACTAAGCAGTTTACCTAGTACCTGAGTTGATCTAAGAGCCATGCTTGCTGTGCGTGTGCAGGCCTCGCTGAGGAATGGAGCCAACCGAGGACAGTAGACGTTAATCCCTGGCTTTGGCACTGGCTAGGGGTCCCAGGGAAAGCTGCTTCTACATATGGATAGGAAAAAGCCCAGAGGACTTCTAGGGCCGTAGGTAGAGCCTGGATCTGCAGAGATCCCAGACCACCTCTTGTAGCTCCAGTAACCTCCACCCACTCTGTACCTGTGCCCACGGCAGGACACGGGTGAGGGCAAACCTCCAGCCCGCTGCCTCCTGCAAGCCTTCAGCTGTCCTTGCACAACCCGCAGCGGTTCGCTGGCGCATCCTCTCCCAGCCTTGTTCTGGCTGTGCGCCTGTTCCCTTCTGGGAACACGAAGCTCCTCCTGCCCCCTTTCTCTTCGTGATGGCCTTGGTACTTGAATCACTGGGAAGCACATCTGAGGAAAATGCTCCTTTTCCTCGCCCCAGATTCCCTCAGCCTGCTCGCTACAGCGCTCTACAAGGGCTCCGATGCACCACTCGCCCTCCACCCTGCCCTGCTTGGCCTGAGGGCACGCCCGCTTCCTGCATAGCTTCTAAGCCTTCTCATCCATAATGGATTTTGCTCTTGAAATTCAAAACATGATTTCTCACCCTAAAATGAACCCTCCTTCTTCCCTTTGTCCCTTCTCCCTGCAGCTTTCCCTCCTGTTTCCGCTATAGTACGTCTCCCTGAGAGACTGTCTGTGCTGGGATCCCTCATACTCCTCGGACCCCCGAAGCCCATCAGTGGCCTCGGAGTTCGCCGTTTCCTCGTCTCATCTCACCTCTTACCTCAGCAGCCTTGGGCACAGCCGAGCATCCTTTTCTTTGTTGTCTACTGTTACAGGCAGTAACAGTGCTATTGTGGAAACAGAAGGGAAGGCCGCAGGGAGAAGGGACCAAGGGAAGAAAGAGTGTTCATTTTAGAGTGAGAAATCATGGTCTGAATTTCAAGAGCAAAATCCGTTATGGGTGAGAGGCTTAGAAGTCATTTGATCCCAGAACTGTGGGGGCCACCCAATACCGACCCCTCTCACTCTCCCATCTTCATCCTTAGAGACTGGTTCTTGTAGGGTCCACTTGGAGGCCTGTGCATCTTATCACACTTGTTGGGGCAGAGTCTTGATTTCCACCCACGTAACCCACCCTCCCCTCTCTAGTCATGAAAGGGCAGCCCTGGCCCTAAAACCCTGAGGTCTGATTTTACTTCCCCTTATTTCCAAATCTAGTCTGGTAGTCTCCCTCGCCATTGAGGGGTGTTACGGTTGCTCAGGGGAGGCAGATCACAGTCTGTGATGGGGTCTCCAGGCATTGTTCTCCATGGAACCAGAAGGGATAAATTCCAAGGATCTCTGGTCCAGCCTGAATGAAAAGTTCCAAGGGGGCTCTGGTCTGGCATGAACGGCCAAAGTGTTACAGCTCTCCGAATGGAAGCCCGTGCAGGGCAGGTGGCTGGGGTCTCTCCTGCTACTGCTACCATAGCAGAGCCAGTGCCAGCGGCAGCCGTGGTGGCGGGTGGCGAGCAGCAGCATGCATCCCAGAACCACAGCATGAGCTGCTAGGCAAGCCAGCTGCAGAAAGTAGCTACCTTGGACAGTGAAAGGCGAGGAGCTGCTCTGGGCAGCAGGGATCCACAGCAGTTGTAGTCGGGGTACTGAGCCCCACCTGCTGGGCGGATCCAAAATCCGGTGAAGAACATACTTCAGGAGAGAAAACTCTTACCCAGAGCGTTACAGCTCAATAAAACGGCCACTCCCAGACAGTTCTTGGTGAAATGACTCCTGCACTTTATTCCATGTGGATAGGGACCTTACAAACATTTTGGGAGGAGGGTAGGAACCAGGGGTAGGTGCTCCTCATTGGCTCAGTCCAAGATGCTAGGGATACTCTATTTGCAGGGGGAAGGACTTCAGGTGTTATCCAGACATGACTGATTGTCGTGGCCCTCTCAGTGGGGTGTCCAGCTTGACAGGGAGCTGGCCCCATGCCTGCCTGTCTCAATTCTGATATTCCCCAGGGTTCGAGCCTGCTCAAACTGACTAGTTCTGGTTCTGACTAGTTCTGACTAGTCTGGTGGCACAGCCCATTGGCCCAACACCCATCCCTTCTTTTTATTTTTTTAAGATTTACTTACATATTTTTAGGTATATGAGTGCTCTGTTTTCATGCACACCAGAAGAGGGCATCAGATCCCATTATAGTTGGTTGTGAGCCACCATGTGGTTTCTGAGAATTGAACTCAGGACCTCTGGAAGAGCAGCCACCGCTGAGCCATCTCTCTCCACCCCTTCTCTAACAGGGCTGAGAGAAGCCTCCTTGCTGCCTCTGTGTTCACTCCTGCACTCTGCCTTCATCTGCTCAGAATTAACATAAGAACCCTGACTTAGCAAGATCCTTGTTGGGCCAGCCTGGACCCTGCCCCTGCCTCATCTTAACCTCCCGCCCCCACCTGGCTCACTAACACAGGTCTTCTGGCCTTTACTTGAAGTTCATCATCCTGACCTTAGGACTTGCTGTTTACCACATTGGGACCTCTTGGGTGCACCCTACACTTCCCTACACTTCCCCTGGGCTCCGGGCAGTCACCTGCCCCTGCCCTGCCACTGCTGCTCACTCCCTTCTCTTCCTCTTTCATTTTCTTGGCAGGACTTAGGCTCCCATGTCCCTTTGCGGGACTGATGGTGCTCTGTCTTTTCTTGCCTGTAAAGTAAAGCTTCCCCTCTCATATTGAACATGGGTCTTTCGGGTCTAGAACAGCACTGAGGGATGGATGGATGGATGGATGGATGGACGGATGGATGAGTGGACGGATGGATGACTGATGTCTGATGGATGGGTGGATAGATGGATAATAGATAACAAATGGATGGATGGGTAGGTAGTAGATTGCTAGGTGAATGAATGGATGAACAGGTGGATGAATCATAAGTGGATGGATGGTTGATGAATGGATGGATGGATGATGGACAGACGGATGGATGATGGACAGATGGACAGATGAACGAATATAAATATTCATAGTCCTAGATAACTACACCCACAGAACAAGCAGAACACACCAGCTAATGCATCTAAGTAGTTTTTTTTTTTTTTTAGTTTCCTCAAAGCCCAATCGTATCTGCACTTTGAAACTCCTTGGATAGATAGAGATTAATGTTTCCACTCCTAAGTTGCAAGCTGTGGAGAGGTCAAGTGAGCATCACACTGTCCTGAAGGCTGAGCCTTGCCCACACTCATGGGAGGGGTCTGCAGCCCACAGCTTCCACTGGATGTCTGGTGGTGGGGGATGGTGGAAGATTCCCTCAGAAGGTGGAGCTGGCTCATGACACAACTTGAAGGTCTTGAAAGCCTTGGCAGAGACTGTGAATCCCAGAAAGCCTCATCAGAGGAAGTTTAGAAAGCACACAGGAGGTAGTGGCTTTGCCCAGTCACTCCCTCTTCCCCACACACTTCATCCTGAAGCACTCCTAGGTACCCTTTTGTGTCCTTCCCCCAGGACACAGTCTTTTTTGTGATTAAGGTTCCTAGCTCATGTGTCAGCACAAGTCCGACCTTCTTTGTCTCCCCCGTTCCCCATCGAGATCCTATTGTCTTGGGAGATTGAGAGCCAGAAGGGATGGCAAGTCAGCCACCCAAGACAGTCATCTGGAACTTCAAGCTTACTCAAGAAAGATAACCATTTCCGATATATAAAAGGGCCTCATCAGTGCAGAAGAGGCCAGGCCTCACTTCCCCCAAGGACCAACCCCATAGACCTCTCACAGTAAGCTTTCCCCAGCGGGCATATCATACCAGGTGTCTGACTCCTCTCCCTTCTGGCCATGTCTGGGCCTAAGGTACTGTCTCCAGTAGGCTCCTGTGGAAAAGTTGCTACAGTTCAAGGAGTTCATAGGGCTCCTCCCACCCACGTCCTCTGGTGGTGAGTCCTGATTTGGGTGGAGCAGGGTCCCCAGGGCAGGGGCTCATCTGAGAGACAATCCTGAGAACTGGGGAGCTATCACAAACCACCAGAGACTGTAAGGTTTGGGATATAGCACCAGGATCTAGATGGGTCCATAGGCTGCTTGATTCTACCCCCACCGAAGCATCCACACCTCAGCTGGTACAGCTGCCCTGGAACCTCTGACATATCCGAGGAGAGGCAAGATCTAGTCAAGCATAAAGAAACCCGTGCCAGAGTGAGGTGAAACCCACTAGGCCCTACTAGGGTCAGGTGAAGAGCCTGCTTCCTAGGCTCGAGTTTCCCAAGCTCAGCTACCAGCTCACATTGGCAGGCCCAGAGTCAGGAGAAAGCCCCCTATGGCTGCCCTCCATATCCTTCCCCCTGGACACCTGAGTTGGGGGCTCATGGCATCATAGACAGTTGTGATCGGGAAGCCATTGAAGGTGGAACTCATGCAGCTGCTGTAGGCACCCATGTCAGGGAAAATTAGCCAGTCGCCCACATCCAGCTCTGGCAACCGAACCTCTGTCGAAAACAGCCGGTCAAAGGCATCGCAGGTGGGGCCATAAAGAGTGCAGGGGAAGAGGCGGGGCTCCGAGGGGAACTCCTGCAGGGAGAAGGAGGAGGAGTCAGAGAAGGAAGAGGCGGGGCTCCGAGGAGAACTCCTGCAGAGAGGAGGTGGGGCCAGAGAAGGAAGAGGCGGGGCTCCGAGGAGAACTCCTGGTCGGGGGAGAAGGAGGTGGGGCCAGATAAGGAAGAGTCTTGCCTCCTTGCTGCGATGTTAGACTTGGCGCTGGGGGGACATATGGGCATATGCCAGCAAGGACAATACTATTCAACTACTGGGAACAATGACAGAGTGGCTGTTCTGTGCCGGTGTTTAGGACATACACAAAGGCCTGTTGTCCTGGAGCTTGCAGACCAAAAGCGCATCACACATACATACTGGGGACCCGAAGACTAGGTCTCAGAGACCACTGCACATTGGAGTCACCTGGGGAGTTTTAATGATGAACGGATGCTGGGTTCAACCCGAAGATTTACATCTATTTCTGTGTATGAGGGCGTGGCCAGGTAGCTTCACAGGGGGCTCTGGTGTGAACGGGGCTTGAGAACCCACTACTCCCCAAGTCTCCTGCATCTCCAGCATTCTAGAGTTCTAGACGCACACACAGCCGCAGCACATACGGAGATGCACACAGAAGCACCCGGAGCTGATCAGACCCATGCAGCCTCCACAGACATGTGCCGACACAGGCATGAATCATCGGGTGTGCCCTAGGAAACACATACAGCTGTGCACATGCAGTTACAGCCATGCCTAGCATGGCGACCTCCAGAGCGTGGGTGACCTGAGACCCTGACTCTTGGGACAGAGGCTGGTCATAGAACACAGAAGGCTCCCTTACCTTCACCACTATGGGTATCCTGGGGACAGGTTCCCTGAGGAAGATTCGGAAGGCGCCATAATGGCCCTCATTGAGGTAGTATGCCAGCTTCCTGTGGCCTCCTGGGAACAGAATGAACAAATGAGCTGTGCTTGGCCAGGTCTCCCTAGGGAGTCCCTTCTCCCTTGGGCGGGGTCCAGGCCTGCTGCTCAGTGCTGCAGAACTCCTGCCTTGTCTTAAGGGTCTTTCCCACCCCCCTCCTGCCATAACATGGGCCTGTACCAGTCCCCAGTGCTCTCTGCTCCCCACACAGGACCACTGAACAGCAATAACTGGGATGGGATGGTCTGTTTTAAGCTCCTCATGTGAGGAGTGCATTTATTGGGTACCATGACTCCTGCATTACAGTTGGAGAAACTGAGTCTTGCCAGAAGTCCATGGGAGTAGGCAATAGGCTAGGATTATCCCTGGACACAGGTTTAAATTCTTGGACTAGGTTCCTGGGCACCTACTGTGTGAAGCAGGACAGGAACACTGGTGTGTATTTGATGTTTTACTTCAGGACATGCTAGTGTGTCCATTTTCTTCCTTTCAGGAATGCTCTTGCATTTCCTTCTTTTCTTCCTTCCTTCCTTCCTTCCTTCCTTCCTTCCTTCCTTCCTTCCTTCCTCCCTCCCTCTCTAATTTACATGGTGTTGGTGGAGATTGAAGGCAGGGCTCTGCTTTTGCTAGGCAAATGTTCTGCCACTGACTGATATCTGAAGATCTTGACTTTTGAGAGAGACTCTTATCATGTAGCCAGGATGGCACTGAAGTTTGTGATCTTGCCTCAGCCTCCTGAGTCCTGGGATTGCAGACATGTGCCACCACACCCTGTTTTATTTTGTGTTCCTGTTTCTTTGTTTGAGACAGATTCTCATAACCCACACTGGCCTATGTAGCGCAGGCTTGTCTTGAACTCATGATCTGTCTCTGCATCCTGAGTGCTAACATTACAGGTGGGAAGCAGCACATCTGGTCTCTTTGATATTCTTGATACTCTGGCATCTGGGCTCTGAAGACACAGAGGAGTCTGACCTTCCCAGGCTAGCTAATTCTTAGAGTCAGCAATTGTCCACACAGATGGCCTCCTTCATGTACAGCCACCAGACCAGAGCCCAAGCAGCCAAATGCTTCCTTTAAAAACTTTTTTAGATTTATTTTGAATGAATGTTCTGCTGATATGTGTGTCTGTACACCACATTCATGCAGTGCTCACAGAGGCCAAAAGAGGGCGCTGGAACTGAAGTTAAAGATGGTTGTGAGCCACCACATGGGTACTAAGAATTGAACACAGGTCCTCTGCAAAAGCAAATGCTCTAACCTGCTGAGCCATCTTTCCAGCCCTGCTGACTCACTTCCTGAGCTATGCCTGTACCAGCCACTTTCCTGGTGTTTGTCACCTGAGGATCTGAGACCACAGTCATCCTTATACTTTTTGAAACTGATGAAATCACCCAAACCAGCCAGAATGAAGCCTGTTTCACATGCCCAACCTGGCCAGCCATTCCCTCCCTTGTAACCACAATGGAAGTGGAGTGTGGTGTCTCACAACTGTCATCCCAGCACTCAGGAACCTGGGCTAGGAGGGTCGCCACAAGTTCCAGGCCAGGATGGACTACAAAGTGAGAACTCACCTAAATAATAATAATAGTAGCAGTAATAATAATAAAAGTAGCAGTAGGTTACTTTGGTAGAGAATTTGCCTAGACTACACAAAGCCCTGGGTTCGATTCCAGTACCACATAAATCCAGTCATTGATTTACCCAGTCATTGTAGTGCACACTTATAAACTAAGAGGCAGGAGGATCAGCAGTTTCAGGTCATTCTTAGCCTCAGGGCTGTGGTGGGCACAATGGTCCTTGTGTTCACAGACCACTAAGGAAACCCGGAATGTTAACCACTCACTGAGGTGTGTCTCCTCAATGGTGGAAATAAAAAAAAAACAACACGCCTTCCATCCCGAAAGCTGTGACAGAACATTGTTCCTGACCCAGTGATCTCTTGCTATCTGTAGAGGCAGACCTCACCCAAGCCCCCCAGAACGTCTATTCCAGAATCTTTAGCTCTCAAGTCAACAGAGTCCACCCTTAGGGGAGATGTCACACGTACTTTTGGCCTGTTGACCTCTATGCTATCTCGGACTGAGACGATACCAGATCCTAGGTCTTAAAGCTGTAGAACCCACCCTCATGGTCACACACACTTTGTAAAGGAGTTTCTACGTGGTCACACCTTAAGCTATATTGTGCACCTAGAATTGGAATGATTGTTGCCTGGAAACCTTTTTCCAAATGCGATTGTGTTTAAATATACCAGTAAACCACCTAGGATTAGACTCCCTGAAGTCTGATCCAGGTTGTCAACATCAATTGGAACCGAGTTTTCATTCCCACCTCTCCCTTCGCTGCCTGCCTACACCTGAAGAGACCCCCCTCACGTGGCAAGGCCCAGGTCAGTCTAGACTACACTAGGCCTATCTCCACAAGCAAATATCCCAGTGAAGAGGCTGGCCATCTTTTCCTTCCCCATCCACTTTGGGTGGATGATACACGCAGGGACTGCTGTCTCTGGGAAACTGTCAGACTTTATCCGAGGCATGTCTCTGTGTATGTCTTGCCATAGCTAATTAGAGCAAATCCTTAGGACAAATCCTGGGTGTGCTGAGAAACCATGTGCAACCGTGACAGCAACACCAGCTGCGGATGTCCCCTCCCTCTGAACACTGCTTCTATTGATGTGACTCAGATACGCACATGGCAGCTTTCCATCCCACATGGTCTTGTTACAAGTGCCCCAGACACGACCACCCACCAGCCTGCTCTTCACAGCCATCTTAGCTTGCTTTCACATTGCTCCCGAACCTGCATTCAGGATTTCAGTCAGATTCTCTTAACATCTAGACAGTCGGCCGCCACTTGGATGCTGACTCTGAGTATAGACTCTGATAGTTTCCTTTCTCCTCCCTCCCTCTCTAGCCCCAGCCCCAGTGATACCTGGATCGATTCTGGGTTGAGTTAAGCGTGATGCCAGGGGCGAAGCGCACCTACCCTGGAGTCAGAAGGACCCGGGCCAGCTGCACTGTTCATGAGCTGTATAGCCTTGGATGATCCACTGCCCTCTCTGAGTCTCCATGTCTACACACATTCACTGAGGGTTACCCAAAGCTGTCTCACAAGACTGGTGAGCAGGCCTGAGGCAAAATATGTATTTCAGCTGTCATTGATTTCTGCATATTGACAGCTCTTGCTTCTGTGGATGTAACAATCTTCCAAATCCTTGTAATTATCTGTGGTGGAATGACGGAAGACCGGTGTGCTACACCCCGTACCCTCCAATGAGACACTTCATCAGAAGAGTAGGGGAGAGGATCGGACTGACTGACAGATATTTGCACTCCAGTGTCACTCCATCCAGATCAAAGAGCGCTAACCCAGTGGATGTAGATCTGGGAATATTCTCGATTTTGCCATGAAAATATTTCTGGGTCATTGTCTGGGAACATAGCAATCCTACCTTCCTCCCACACTCAGAGACAAAATAGTCAAAGAACTCTCCAGGGAGACACTGTAATGAGTGTCAACAGCTACTGTCACCAGAGGATGTCAGCCTCGGGGATGCCTCAGCGGTCAGCAGTCAACCATGAGCTAGCCATTGTGGGAACATGTATATTCTGGAACTGCCACTTGGTGCACTCCAGGGTCTGCTCCTGATTGACGGGGTTTAGACACTGGGTGTCTAGGGACTCATGGGTTATACCTTGCAACTGCTCCCTCAGTGCAGGGTAGACTTACACAATACCTAGAAGAACACCTTGGTCTCTGCCCTTCATCTCCCTTTCTTCTGAGCAACAGTAAACAGTGTACAGACAGGGCCAATCCCGTGCCCAGCTCTAATCTCACTTCCTAGAAGTAGGTACCCAGGACTCACCCCAAACCCACTGTCCAACCTCTCCCTGAGTCCTGGGGACACCCGGACAGTGGCTACACACCTGGCTCCAGGGAGGCCTTCTTGGCGATGATGCTCACAGCAGCTGTGCACACAGACTCCGCATAGAAGCGGCCAGGCTCCGCAATGACCTCGACACCGGTCCCCTCGGGGAAGTACTGGGCCAGGGCAGCGTTGACCACTCTTGCCATCTGTGGTGACAGATCCCGTCTCTACTGTATCCAGAGTCTAAGCAATGGACCTGACCACCCTCCCTTCCCTGTGTCCCTCCCATAGCCATGCGGAGAGAAGAAACAAGTAGAAATGAGGCTGGGAGAGGCCAGAGCGCACAGCCAGAGCACAGGCTCTGGCACCCTTTGGAATGTGACATTGTGGATAACTGGAGCATGGTCAGCAGAGACAGGATGTTTGCTGAGGCTAAGGGGTCATGAGCTCCTACCAGGCATAGCCAGGGTCACATTAGCACAGCTAACGTGTCTAAAGGAGGACACAGAGATGCTGGAGAGACTGCTCAGTGGTATAACCCTTACCCTCCTCATGCCAGGTAGGAGATGAAAAAGAAGGGGGGATGGGAAGAAGAGGGATGGGGATGGGAAGGAGACAGGATGGGATGAAGAGGAAGAAGAAAAAAAGAGGGAGGGGAAGGATGAGAAAAAAGAAAAGGAGGAGGGGACGGGCGGTGGTGGCGCACGCCTTTAATCCCAGCACTTGGGAGGCAGAGGCAGGCGGATTTCTGAGTTCGAGAGTTCGAGGCTAGCCTGGTCTACAGAGTGAGTTCTAGGACAGCCAGGGCTACACAGAGAAACCCTGTCTAAAAAAAAAAAAAAGAAAAGAAAAGAAAAAAGGAAAAGGAAAAGGAAATAAAAGAAAAGGAGGAGGAAGAGAAGAAAAAGGAGGAGGAGGAAGAAGAGGAGAAGGAGGAAGAAAAGGAAGATGAGGAGGAAGAGGAGGGAGAAGAGGAAGAGGAGGAAGAGGAAGCCATTGTCAGATGTAACTTCTGATTTTGTATCAGAGATGTGAGGCAACAAAAACAAACACGATAAGAAGCAGGCACACACACTCAGACACTCACAGCCATGCATGTAGTCAGTGAAGACGTGTACCAAAGGCAAACCCCAGTGCCCACAAACAGATTCCCAGTTACACAAGGTTACTATGTACAAACACACGGGTGTGCACACACACTTGACCCTGCACCTCAAGCGGCTACACCCAGACTGCTATTCATGCCTTGGGGCCATCCGTCTCACCTCCTCAAATCTGGCTTCGGAGCCCTCAATTCCTGGGAACCCCGCTCCAAGATCCAGGAGGCTCATGTGGTGGCCAGCTTTGCAGCCCATGTCAAACACACTACGGCAGTGAGCGATGGCCTGCCTGTAGCTCTGGGGCGTATGGCAGTCAGAACCCACGTGGAAGCTGAGCACCGCCATTGATGTGGAAGACACACAGGTGGAGACTGAAGTCAGTGTGAGGAGAGATGTTCCAGGGAACACCCACCCAGGGGCTTCAAGACTTGCCAGTGCCAAGATTGGCACCCACAGAGGTATGTGGCCTTGGTCACAACATGTGTCCTCAGGGAGACGCACATCCCATAGTCATCCTATCAGGGCTCAGGACAGAGTGACATTTTCTCCCAGCTGCTCACTCCCAAGCCTCTGTTAAAGGGGCTCCTGCTCTCTTACCTAGAGCTCATGTCGTTAGAGTCCCACAACCCTCTGCCCTCTGAAGATAAGCTGAGTAACCAGTTAGATGGGATGAAGCGTGTGAGGCATTCTCGGAGACGCAAAACCTGACTGGTTAGATGGCCCACAGTGTAAAAGTACTTGCTGCCAACCCTAACTACCTGAGTTCAATTCCCAAAACCCACATGATGAGAGATGAAAACTCATTCCTAAAAGTTGTCCATGGCATGTGCACACACACACATTTATGAAAAAGTAAAAAGTTTAATTCAAACATTATTAATTTTTAAAATGTAAGGGGCCATAAAAACACATAACTAATTAATGCAATTTTTTTTTGGATAATACCTCATATAGCACAAGCTAGCCTCCAATGTGCTATATAGCCAAGGGTGGCCTTGAACTTCTGACCCTCCACTGCCACCTCTGGAGTTCTGGAGTGCTATGTCCCTAGCCTGACCCTTTTGGAGACCGTCTCCTGTTGTCAGCCTGCCCTTGACTTCGCTACTCTCCTGCCTCTGCCTCCCTGAGTGCTGGGATTCCAGCTGAGTGTCCCCACACCCAGCTCTCAGAAAAAAATAAAATGAATACAGGAGGAATGAAATGTAAAAATTTCAGACAGAGACTGGATCTGTAACAGTGATTAGACCCCAGGGGAAAATAGAAAATCAGCTACACCAATCCTGCCTTCATTTAAAATTCCAATTTTTCTCATCATGGAGATTTTGCATTTGTTTTGACTTTTTAAATACTGTTTGAAAATGTTACATATCTGGAGTGTTATGTTTCTTTGATGTTGACTTCAATTTCATCCCCACGGCCTCACATCCTCTAGGCTTAGAAAACACACAAAGCAGAGGTGTCCCCGAGTCCTTGGCAGCCTAGGGACAGCAATAGAAATGGAGACAGGGAAGACCAGTGCTCACTTACGAGGCCCCCACCACAGCCAATCCCAGCTCTCTGGCCACCTGGAGCAGGTGTCCACATGCCTCCAAACAGGCTCCAAACTTGGTGTGCAGCGGGAAGGTGCTTCGACTGCCCTGGGTCTGTATCCGGAGGACTAACCTGGAGGCAGAGGGAGGATGGCAGGGGTGCACAGGAACCCTGAGACCCTCCAACCTTCCCACCTGTCCCTGCCTAGTTTCTCCCAACTACTCAGCACTAGAGAGCAAGGAGTAAGCACATATGCTTACAGAATCCTGTCGGGCAAGTGCAGGCAGGACAGAATCACATCGGTAAAACTTTCTGAAGAACCAGAGGTATAGGCTGGGCAGTGTGGTTCACGCCTTTTAATCCCAGTACTTAGGAGGCAGAGGCAGGTGGATCTCTATGAGTTCGTGGCCAGCCAGGTCTACAGAGTGAGTTCCAGGACAGCCAGGGCTATAAAGAGAAACCCTGTCTCGAAAAACAAAAAAACAAAACAAAACAAAAAGAATCAGAGATATTATACAACATATGGCTTATGAATTGGAAATGCAATCCTTGGTCTAACTCTAGTGTAAGTACTCCTTCTTTCTTTCTTTCTTTCTTTTTTTTTTTTTTTTTTTTTGGTTTTTGGAGACAAGGTTTCTCTGTGTAGCCCTGGCTGTCCTGGAACTCACTCTGTAGACCAGGCTGGCCTCGAACTCAGAAATCTGCCTGTCTCTACCTCCCAAGTGCTGGCATTAAAGGCGTGCGCCACCACTGCCCGGTTTGTAAGTACTTTTTCTATGATATCATGGATGTCAGACCATCTCATGCTGGGCTCTGTCCAGTGTCTATGCAGAGACAAGGTCTTCTTGACACTAATGTGTTCAGAGAGGGCATTGGGCCTTCTAACCAAACCCTTGTGCCTGCAGTCCAACACTCTTGTTGCCCAGAGTTTTTCTTGGGGCTACCTTCTACCTGGCTACTGAGGCCCAGGTCCCTCGGTCGGGGTCCCTCAACCCACTGTTTCCAATTGAACCTCTGTCATCTCACCTAGCCCCAGGGTGGTGCTGGGCCAACTTAATCAGCTCCTCCTCACTGTCGAAAGTCAGAAGCTGCACCCCACAGCTGGCTGCGTACCGAATGTGGGAGATGGCCTTGCAAGGGTTGGCGAAGATGATTCGTGAGGGGGCCACACCCAAGTTCAGCACCTGCTCTAGCTCCCCCTGGGGTGGGAGAAAAGCCAGAGTTAGGGCTACCTGCTGCTCCCACTTTTCCCAACTCTTTGGGGACTGGACCTTAGCCTGAACTAGTGGGAGAATCTTCCAATGAGCCTCTTGTGGAAACAGGTCCTTCACTGGGAGAGCATCAGGTCCCAAAGAAACCCTAGACAAGTCTCCCTCAGTACCTGAGGGTCCTCCAGCACCTCTTACCCTGCCTTCTTCCCTAAACCTCCCCAAGTCAGGGGCTTTGCTTCTATCCCCGCAGCGTCTGATTCCCATACACCTCAGCGGTTTGGCCACACACTCCTGGTTCCCAAGTGCTCTCTTGGCCCTTCTAACTTCTCTTTCTCTTCTCTTCCTCCCTTACTCCTCTTCCCCCTCCCTCCCCTCATGGCCTGGTCTATTCTGCAGGCCATGTTCAGTCTGGACTCTTCCAGATGCCTCTGGTTGTCCTCTCCCTCCATATCTACAGTAAAACCCTTCTCCTCAACTTTACCTAGGAATGGTCGTGTCCTCTATTTCATTAAGTGTTGGTCCCATTTTAAAGAGGGAGAAACTGAGGCTCAGAAGGGTGACTGGCTATGCCAGGAAGGGACCTGTTCCCTAGTTCATGTTGTTTGATCTTGTCACATAGCCAAGTACAAGGCTGACCGTAGCAATTTACTCATTTATTCATTGAAAAGCATCTGAGGGAATGGGCTATACCTAAGTTGGTAGCTTGCTTTGCATAGCATGCACAAAGCCCTAGGTCCAATCAGCACTGAGAAACTATGTTTGGGAGGACCAGAAGTTTGAGGTCATCCTAGGCTACGTGGTGAATTCCAACCTGGACTACATTAGACTCAGTCTTAGAACAAATGAAAACCACCAGCAGCAACAACAAAGTCTCAACACACCAGGCACCATCTTGGGGGCCAGGGTCCCCCTTTCTGATCTCCTGACCATTGGTAGTATTTCTTCAGAAAGTGACAGGCGGTGGAGAGGTGATAGGCAAGCTGACCCATGCTCACCTGGCTGGCACAGTCAAAGCCGGTGCCCAGGGCAGCCAAGACGAGCAGCAGCCAGGGCCTGTTGTTGCACTTGACTGCATAGAAGGGCTGGACTCGGGGCAGGGCCTGGAGGAAGGTCCGATGGCGGCTGGCCAGCACATCCAAGTCAGCCACCATGAAGGCGTCATGGCGGCCCTGTTAGGCAAAGACAAGAGAAGGAGATGGGGGGGTGTTAGGTCCTGAGGCCTTTCCACCTATGACAAAATCATTACCCTTCCTCCGACTTTCTTTTCCTTTCTTGACAATTCACTTCGAGTTTTGCTCATTCGTTTGTGTATTTGTTTGTTTGTTTGTTTAGACAAGCCCGTGCTATGTAGCCCAGGCTCCCACAGTAGTCTCCTCAATGCTGGGATTACAAGTGTACACCACCACATCTAACTCATGTCTTCTTTTTTAGGACCAGGAAAAACAGGCTCGAGGACACAAAGCAAGAAACTGACAAAGAGAAGATTTGATTTTCTTTTTTCTTTTTTGTTTTGGGATTTTTGGATTTGTTTGTTTGTTTGTTTGTTTGTTTTAGACAGGGTCTCTCTATGTAGCCCTAGCTGTCCTAGAACTTGCTATGTAGACCATGCTGACCTTGAACATACAGAGATCCACCTGCCTCTGCCTCCTGTGTGCTGGCAAAGAAAGGATTTGAACTCTGGTCTTTTTATCTCTTGAAACAGAGATGCAGGAAGGCAGCCATTTGTAAAGCAAAGCTGGAGAGAGATGACTTCAGCCTCAGATGATGGCTTGGTTGAGGGTAAAACCCTGAGTGCAGGGAAGAGACGCTGTAGGGACAACAGCGTTCCCTCAGCAGAGGCCCTGGGAAAGCCGGGACTGATGGCCTCCCAGTCTGAGACAGGAAGCCTTCTTGGGTACCAGTAATGACCAGTAATGGAAAGGGTGAGACTTACCCTCCCTCCTTACCCTCCCTCCTTACCAAGATGGACAACTCCTGAATCTTCTTCAGGACCAGCTGCCGGGCAGATGTCTCTGGCCCCAAGGTGATGGGCTCTGATGGCCATGGGGTTTCTGAGACTCCCAGAGGCTCCCTCCTGCCCTCAGAGGGGGTGTTCATCTCTGAGACTCTAGTTGAGGTGTTCACCGGGCACAGCTCTGGCATCATAGAAAGGACAGATCTATGGACCCAGTCTCTTCCTTCTGTCTCTCCCATAGCTAGGCTAGCCAAGTCACTGGAGCCTGGGTTCCATTAAGCCTCCCTAGTCCTACTGACAGTCTCAAGCTTTACAATAGGCCACTGATGGCACATGGCCAGAGCCACTGATTGCAGGTGACAAGCAAGCTACACAGCCATTCCCTTAGAAGGGAGTGTGTGAGTCTCCTCCAGGCCCTTCCCACACATTCCCACTCAAGATGAGGAATGGAGACACAGTAGAGCAGTAGAGTCTGACTCTAGATCAGTCACAGGAGAGTGAGAACTGTGTCCCACAGGGAAAGAAGGGGACTTGCTGCAGGTTGGGTAGTTGGTGGCACTTGGGTTCCCTGGAACAGTCAGAGATCCCTCAGACTAAAGTGGGGTCACTGGCACCCATGGGGCTTCTGGTCTGTAGTAGGGACTGTGTCCATGACTCTTTCCCGAATAACTCACCCTATTGCCGTCGTGATCTGCTTCCTCAAATACAGTGCAGAGAGCCCAGACAATGGTGCTGTCCGGGCTTCGGGGTAATATTTGTGAGGAAATCCAGTCCCAACAAGATCTCAGGGTACAGGACACCTACCTTCAACCCAAACCTCCAGGTGGGATCACACCTTCCAAGGCGTGCACTGACAGGTGTTCAGAGTAGACGGGGACACCTATGGAAAGCAAGCACTGGCCACCTTCAAAATCGGGAGAGCCCAGAAACCCTTCTCCCTCTTCCCCTCTTCCCTAGAGGTGTCCAGGTCACACCATAGAGCGGGTAGACCTCGATGCAGAATCAAAACCCCAAACCTCTAATAACAGGCGGCCCTGCAGGCTGGAGCACGTGCTGGACTCTCATGGCAACTCTTGCTGTCTGCTGCCTATTTAAGTGGGATGGTAAGCCTGTCCATGTCGCTCCATCTTGTCCCACCTACCTCTCCTAGCCCTCCCTTTCCGTGAGAGCCTCTAAGGTCTGTGACCCGAGGTCCCTCCCAGGATGGAACCGCCGCCTTGGGACAGGGCCAGCTCTAGGATGTCAGCTGCCACTTCTGAAGGCTTACACTCCACCTTTAAGCTACAACCCAATAAGTCCAAACAGTATTTCAGCAGAGGATGGATGAGGAGTAATCCTAGTTATCAAACATGTCACACCCTCCCTTTCTGGACCAAGTGAGTACACCAGGGACCAGTGATGGAAGGACCCAGGTCTTCTTATCACAGGAAAGCTAGAGACATGTTTGGTCTTAACCCAGAGATGAACCTATGTATTAGTTTCTTCCTTCAGCCTGTCTCCTGCCTGCAGCCCTTCTGTGGCCCTCCTTCTGCAGGATAGCAGACAGCAAAGTCTGCCATCTCACTCTAAAAATGTGGCAGTGGGTATATCAGTTGACTGTTCTGAGCTTCAGCTTCTTTACCTGGAAAATGGGACCCCAGGAGACAAGAGGAAGGATGAGTCTGTGAACTAATAACCATGCAGGACCTTGGCGCCAACACTACTATCTAGATGACCACTGCTGCAGAATGCCCAGCCTGATACACACACGCAGACAAGCACACACATGTCTTTTGAGGTCATAGAGCCTCCTGTGTTGATAAAAATGAGGGAAATAGTATGCTTTTCCCAACCCACAGAACCTGCCATCCTGTTGGGATCATGGGAAAGAATGGATGGGCCAAAGATAGACTCTGAACAGGAGACTTCAGCCACTGCCCAGCAAGGGCGGGCTTGCGTAACAGGCTTTGGGTGGTAAAAAGAAGATCTCATGCCAATAAAATTAATGTGAAGTTGTCCAGGGAGCTAGATGTGTTGTTCAATTTTATATTTTAATGTTTGATGTTTTGTCTGTGTGGAAGGAAATTTAGTAATCATTACATCTAGGATAAACATTAGAATTAACAGTTGTTTTCTGGGAGTGCTTTGACCTTGAAATCTTCGTAAAAAAAAAACAGTGGTTGTTTCCTATTATCTGTAGAGTTGTTTTTCTGGAGGAGCCTTACAGCCTTTTGCATGGCTTTGGCTACGAGATGGTCCGGGCACACCTGGATCGTCTTGCATTATTGAGTACTGCAAACTGTGCATAGCAAGGACTGAACTTGCATGGGTGTGATGTTTTCCTTCTGGAAACATATGGATTAGATTAAGGGCTTTGGTGTGAAGAATTTGTTTTACAAAAAAAAATCAACTTTTGTGTAACAATCAATAACTATGCTTTTGGGCGGCTGTTCAACATTCAGTCCACAGAGCCTGGATCTTCCTGTTGCCAGCAAGGCCTTAACTCATTCTAGAGTTTCCTTCTCTGATAGACCCGAGAGACTCAGAACACCAACGTGTCTGCATGTAAGTCCACACAACCTATGCATGCTTGGTGTCACAGAGGTCAGAAGAGAGCTCTGCATGCCCTGGAACCAGAATTACAGATGGTTGTAAGCCACCATGTAGATGGTGAGAATTGAATCTGAGCCCTTGGCAAGATTAGTCGATGCTCTTAACCACTGAGCCATCTCTCCAGCCTCTAAATATGGGTTTTTTAATAAGTCATAAAACATACATGAGTTAGCAGAATGAAATAACATATCATTCTGCCATTAACAGGGTTTGACCTTTTAAGCTCACATATGACCAAATAAAGGGCAAAGGTTAGATTTTATCAGTTTATGAGTAACACAAATTCACAATCACAAAGCCCAGTGCTTCTTGGCATCAGGAGATGTGGGACTTGCTTCCTGCCTAGCTTTGACTTGATGTTGGTATGCCATAAGTAGTCCTTTGACTTAGGGATATTATTTTATACTTCATACCTTAGATCCCATGGCTTCTTGGCTTTGGGGCTAAGAGTAAGTGTAACATTGAATCTTTTTGTAAAAGATGTATTTATTTAAATGTGTGTATATTTACTTAAACATTCATATTTATTTATTTGTGTGTCAGTATTAGTATATGCATGCATGTGGTGTGTGTGTGTGTGTGAGAGAGAGAGAGAGAGACACAGAGAGAGACAGAGAGAGACAGAGACAGAGAGAGACAGAGAGAGACACAGAGAGAGACAGAGAGAGAGAGCAAGTGAGCTTGGGTGTACATAGCTATACAGGTATGAGGTTCTGTGCAGGTGAAGAAGCCGGAAGATGTTGGATCCCACAGAGCTGGAGTTGCAGACATTTTCAGGGTGCCTGGCTTGAAGTCCAGTCCTCATGGTATACAACAAACACTCTTAACTTCTAATTCATCTTTCTGTCCCCCTAATCTGAATCTTAGACCTCAAGAAGCGTTGGATGGTGACAGGTGCCTAATAGCAGCTGGCCAGCACGTCCCCTTGGGCATTAGACAGGGTGAGGATGTTCCTGTGGGAGAGAGCTGGTGATCTTCAGCTGAGAGCCTCCAGCTCTTTTCTCTCCCATCAGGAGCCAAAGCTCTCAGACTCCCAGGAACTCAGGAGTCCAAGCCAGGACGACAGGGGGAGCCTAGAGCGGGAGGAGGGTGCTCAGTGGATCTGGGGAGGATTCCTTGTCACCAGGGCCTCCTGAATTCCACTCTCAGACTGTGGTAGAGTTGAATAAAGCCTCCAGCTTGTGATTCTAGACAAGAAGGTGAAAAAGACCCCCATTTCCATGGAGATGCCATCTTTTCCTGCCAGGTGACTCTGGAAGAGCCTGTCTCTAGCTCTGCAGCTCCCCTGCTAGACCCTGGGCAGGTGCTTTTGCCCCGAAAGCCTCAGTTTCTGACTATATGACAGGAAGGCCCCAAGGATGGGT